CGCCGCTCCCATCCCGCTCCCTTCCCCTTCTTTACTCAACACAGACTCGCTGTTCCAGCCCGAAGCCGGCAAAGCCGGGGGGCGGGAGGTGGCCGCTCTCGGCGGCGGCCTCATTTCGAGCCTCAGGTTATTTTTTCTTATTAGCATGGCTCTTGGTTTTGGCCCCGAGAGCAGGCTTTTCGTGCCTGATAAGTAAAGCGGCGTTGAATTGCAAGGAGGATGCTGACTCTGGGGCTGTAGATAGGATAGGCATGTCAATCAAGCGCCCTAAAGAGTTATTACAAATTTCCCTTTTAAGTTTTACGGCCGGAGAGCCTTTCCGTGGCGCAGGAACCACGCACCCGCCTCAGCTCCTGTCTCCTGGGGACGTGCAGCCGAGCGGGCGATGAGGACGGGGAAGTTTGGGGCAATGGGTTGATGGTCAGCGGGTAACTGAACTGGGCACAGGCGTGCCCGCTCTGCCCTGCGAGCGTGGCTGGGTTGGGAGCCCTGGGTGAACCCTTTTGCTCTCCCCAAGTGGTGCTCGGTGAGGCCTCGCCTGGATCCTGTACGAACGGCAGCGATTCCACACCCCGTGTCTCCCAAAACCAGCACGCTCGGCCCACCTCCAGATCCGGGTTGTGGTTCCTCAGAGAAGGGCAGCCCCAAAACAGCTTGGGTTTGCTCCCTGACTGTGATGCAAACCCCTGCGCCTGCCTCTGCCCTCTTCCTGACCCTCCGGCCGCCCGGTCAGCAGCCCCACAAGTGTCGACTTGCGAATATCTGAGATGAAATCGGTGATGCGGGTCAGTGGGAATGCAGCCGCGGGCGCTGCGAGCATCCGGGGAGATGCAGATGGGCTGAGATGTCGTCCACATCCCGTGCTCCCCCAGAAAACCGCCTGCCTTTCCTGATAGGGAGCAGATTCCTGCTCTGCTTCAGGGCAAATGTGTCTTTTATTTTTGGGCGGGTGCTGCCCAGTGGTTTGTGCACGAGAACTGAGGGTCTGCGAGGTGTCTGCGGTGGTCCCTGGGCGGAGGCATTCGGGTCCTGGCCTCAAACTTTTCCCCCAGCGCTGGATCTGTGTTTGCCAACGGCTTTATCCGTTCTTATTCCAGGTGACCAGCTCCTCCGGCGAGGGAACAGATGCCATAGTCATCCTGGAAAAGACTCCTTTCCAGGAGGAGAAGGTATCGGACCTGCTGAAGAAGCACACGAAGCTGGAGCTGCAGATGCGCAATGACATTTACAGCACGTACCACCTCTATCCTCCCCCGGAGCTGAGCGGTGAGCGCTCTTGGCCTTGCGTGGGGGGGATCCCGGGAGGGTGGCTCGCTCTGTGGCTCGGTCGTGGCTGGGGCGCGGGTCGGCGTGCTCCTGCCAGCTCCGGAGGGGCGGACGCAGCGAGACAGGCAAGTGCCGCTGCCGAACCCGACCACGCCACCTCGGTTATGGTTTGGCCGACGGCAGCAGACCTGACCGAGGTGGGGAGATGGGTGGATCGTTGCCGCTCTGAAGGCAACATCTACCTCCCAAGGCTTTGGGTGCTGCCTTGTTTCACCCCTCTTTCCCCTGCGCTCAGACACCTGGCCCAGCTGATGAGTAGCTGGCTGTTAAATGGCCCTTGCTTGATGACTTGCAGTCATCTGCCTGCGCCTTGATTTAAAGGTGAAGAAGGGCTTGTGGCTCTGAAAGCTTTCCTTGTGTGTTTTTTTCCGTGATGTCAGTTAATCTGGTAAGATGTTGTCTCTCCCCGTAAGATTTACCTTGAAAACAATATCCGTAGAGCACTTGTCAGCCTCTCCTCGTTCCAGGGTGTCATCTCGTGCTTTTTTTTGGTTGCCCGATGTCAGCTGGTAAGGGCAGGCAGCTGGCATGTTTGCAGTGGGGATTTAAATGCTGGTAACCTCGAGCGCCTGGGGCAAAGGGGCACCTGCCCTCTGCCTTTCAAGCCTCTCCCCGCTGATTTCACACATCCGTGTGTTACAAAACCCAGTTAATAACCGAGTATTATAATAACCTGAGGTCAGATGAGGGGGTTGGAGAGCTTCAGTGGGAGGCTGTCCTCCTGCAAGACTGATTCTTATGGTGGAAAGGCATCCTGCGATTGCAGCGTGCTGCTCTTTCGGCAGGCCGGGCACTTTGATTTAATCCTGGTACATGTTTAAATTCTGGAAGTGCAGTGATTAATTACGCATCGACGCTTCCGTAAGCACAGTGATCGCCAAACAAGTTTAACAGAGTCAAAATTAATCAGAGTGATAGCCTTAAGTAAGAAGTTGTTGTGGTCCTGAATTAAATTTTTGGGATGTTTGATGTTCCTTCCCGAAAACGCTCCCGTGTTAGCGCTATGTCCGTGGTGTAGGAGGAGGCACTGTCTGGCTCTGGGAGCTTGAGTTGTGCAAAGCTCCTCTTGTCCCGTCGAGGACTCTAAATCAGGGGTTTCAGCGTTAAAACGCCACGTGTCAGTGGCAGGAAAACACCGCGACACCACGTTTTTTGCGGATGCCCTGCGTGGGAAGATGTTACAGCTGTGCTTTGCTGGCTGGAAAGATTCCTGCTTGGGCACCCGCTGCGTGCGAGGCCGGCAGCGACTTGCAGCGATTCCCACGAGGTGGCATTGCAAGACTAAAATCCCCTGGGCCTCTCTCCAGCTGCAGCCCTGCCAGCCGTGCTGGCGTTTGACTTTCTTGTAGCCCTTTGCTGCAGCGCTGTATAACTCCAGCGTTACTCCGATAGCAAAATTTTTTATTTAATTTAAGATTTATGCCAGGTGTGAAACCCCTCGCTGGGGCGGAAGGGCTGTTAAAGGGTTGCCGCTCTCTGTCAGCACCGCGCCAGGTCCTGCTCTTTCAGAGAGGCTGGAGCAAAATGAGGTGAATCTGGGTCCTCTCACATCCCGTTTCTGGGCCTTTGTTAAACTAAATCCTCGCTCGGGTTGTTTCTGTTCGGTCTGTCCTCTGCCCCGCGTAGCCACGCTGTTTATTTCACATATAACTGGATCAAACCTGCTGCGCTTTCGGATGCACGTTCGTGCCGTTCCTCTTGCAGGTTTGAATGGGGAAAAAGCCTCTGGCTTTCTTCTGCTGAGGTTTATCTTTGTAATTACTTTAAAAATTGCCTTTAAAAGGCGGGTTTTGCAGAAACGTTACTCGGTGGCGCATCTTTGCTTCCCAGCCTTCTCCTTGGCATTGGTGCACCTGCTCTGGATGTTGGGCAGGAGACCTGGGGAGGACTGCGGACCCCGGTGCTGCCCGCCAGGCTCCTGAGCGGTGAGCGAGGAGGCTTCTTCAGAGGAGAAATTCGGAGCCAAATAGCTGTTTTTGCAGGTGTGAGCTGCTGGCGGGCAGCTGGGCTGGCACCAGAAGGAATGGTTGTGTGTGTCAGGAGAAGGGAATTGTCCTTTTGAGCCGAGTCGTGGCCCAGGGAGGGAGTTGACGTGAGGAACGCAGCTCGTAAACCTAAAACGAAGGAGGAGAAATTTCCTGTAAGGCTGCAGATAATGTCAGGGCTTGTGAGAAATCCCTGGACGTCGAGTGATTGCGTGGAGACCCAGCGAGCCCTCACACAGGGTCCATCTCGGCCTCTTGGTCGCAGGGTGAGAGAGATAGAGGGTTTTATCTCCTGGTGCTTGCAGGCTTACACCCGGTTAACGTCATGCAGTAAATGTATTTTGCAGAAAAGGTCAAACTTTGGCATTAAGCAGTTCCTTCGAAAAGCCACAGTGTCCCGCAGAAGAGGAATTAACCCCGGGGATTTCACAGCATCCCGGGCGGCCAAGCCCTTCACGCTCAGCTTCTCGCTTTCTGAAGGCAAGGCAAACCTCCGGACCGAGGAAATCGCGACAGCAGGCAACTCGCGACATCGGGCGCGTTGATGGCGTGAGGAGCTGCCTCCGGGTCCCTCCGCTTTTTTTTTTTTTTTTTAAAGCGCGTTTCTCAATGCCGCCTTTGTGGGCCGAAGTCCCCGGGGGGGTTCTTCATTCAGCTGGAGTTTCTTGATAGCTGAAAGTGGATATTTTCTTCACCCTCTCCCCGCCTCCTCGTTTAAGCGAGTCGGGTGCTGTTCCCTCCCTGGAGTCAAGCTAACACAGGCCCCGTGCGATGAAAGCTTGTTTTGTCTTGGTGGTAAAAGAGCCTGTGAAGCTGGGCCAGTCGCTTTGTTTGCGTGGTGAAAGCAGAGAAAGGGAGGCCAAAAGAAGCACGTTACCTGAGCAAACGACTCCCTTCTGCCCTGGGAAGAGGAATTTCACTCTGCTGCTGCTTAAAGATGAGATTTTTAGGGTTGGGAGCACACCGGGACGGGGCTGCGTGAAGACGACGCCGGTCAGAAAGAGGACCTCATCCATGTCTTGCTTGGCTCGTTGGTTTTACTGGCCGCTAGGAGAGATGTGTCAAGGCTAAAGCGGGAAATAAGATTTGCAAATCAGTTTAATAATGGTCAGAGTTTGTCTGAAGGGCAACCCAAAACCACTCGACTACGGAGAAGGAAATTTGCGAGCGAGTTTGCGAGGAGGAGCGGCGTCAGGGAGCGTGCCCTCTGGTCGTAACTGCCCTGCTAACAGCCGAGGCGGGTGTGCGTAACTTATTTTAAGGCCAGCTGCTGGAGGTTGCCTGGATTTAAGAGGCAGTTTATGCCTAAAGGTGTGAGATGCTGGCGGAGGAAACCCTAGCTCTGGGACTCTCCTTTGCAGGGAGAGCAAGGGCCGCTTTCGTACCAGGCGAAATATTTTCCTGCTGCCAGAGGCTCGATTGCAAAAGCCAGATGGTTCAAGCAATACGTTCCCTGATAACATCCAGCTCCTGGTGGTGCTCACACCCGTTTAGCAAAGAGAACTCGCTGTTCCCAGCAAAAAGCAGCCTCCTGTTGCCTGGCTGCTGAGGGATGCGATACATATCCCTGCCTTCCCCAGCCCAAAAAGCGTCTGGTTTCAGGCAGTGAGGAGCTGGAGGAACTTGCACGAGCTGCACTGGGAAGGCTGGTTCATCTCCCGGCGTTTCCACGCTCCGCCTGCGTGCTGGGCTTGCCCAGCCGGGAAAACTCTTTGCATTTACACTTAAATAAAAAGCTGGAGCCTGAAGCAGTGTGGGAGCGCGTGGGGTGGTTTGGGGCACGGTGGGAAGCATCGTCGTGCTTTGCTGTGTTTTTTGGGGGTTGGGAACCTGGAAATTTCCTCTTCGCCGTGGCTGTTGCAGCTAGAGCCCACCGAGACCTCCTTGGATGGGAACCAGGGGCCAGACAGCCTTGGCAGAAGTCCCCAGCAGCCCGCTTGGCTTGCCCTGGCACGTGCTGGCCTCGGAGACTGTGAGCTCTTGCAAGCTTTATCCTTTTCTGCTTTTATTTCATTCAATCACGAGAGCCCCAGACGTCCGAGGCAAAGCTGGGGTCATACCTGGGTGGGGATGGGTTAAAATTAGGCGTTCCCCTGCGACTGCTGCGCAGTTGTGGTCATAAAACTAAATACAACGATGTTAATACAGCGGGGGACGGGGGAGGTTGTGCATCGTTATATTTAGTTAGGGCTACGTCGAAGGAGATACCTGATGATGGGAAGGCAGCGCAGAGCCGTATGCAGCAGGAAGGAGGCTTGCAGGGGAAAAGAAGACTTGCAGGAGTGCAAATGCGACTTTGTCTGCTGTTTCCCCGGTGTTTCTACAGGTGTTTCTGGTTTCTGAAGGTGTTTCTGCACCTTCCTGTGCCTGATGGTTGAGTTTATTAGGCAGATTATAAGCCAAAGGGAGGAAAGAGCACCCCTGCCCAAAAGTAGAAACAGGTTGTTCCTGCCCCGCGTGCTTTTCTTGGCTCCCTGGCATGTTTAAATCTATTTAAAACAAAACCACAGGGAGAAGCGAGCGCAAGGCATCTCGGCGGGTGACCTTGGCCTCTCCTCGCCATTTGCATCGGTTTGACGTGGCGAGCTGGAGGGGGATTTTGGCAGAGCCTGGGGACGGCGTGGAAGGGGACGGGCATCGCTGCCGAGCCTGGGGTGCGCTTTCCTCCGCGCACGAGCTCTCTCGACCTCCTTCCCGTCTGCGCTGCGTAGCTGTCCTGTGCCGCAGGGAGCACGGGGTAATGTGTTTTATCCTCTCCTCCTGGCGACCGCTGCCTCCAACCCTTTTTTTCCATAAATTCCCCAAATTGAGCTGGTGTTTTGGTTTGGTTTCTTGTGTCTTGGGTTAGTTTTTTCTTGGTTTTAGCGGGAGAGGGGAGAAGTCATTTTGTTTCTGGTCACCCCGAGCTTCCTTTTCTTCTGGGCAGGGAAACAACGGTGCGGTGTATCCCCTCAGACACCCTTTGCAGGGTGAACTGCCTGATCTACCATCTCAGTTCTCTACCATCTCAGTACCTCTTCCTCCTGCTCATCCGGGTTCCTTCAATTAAACGTTCTGTTTTTATAACCTCCAGTTAATCGACGGTCAGTCCTGACTTCCAGAATAAACCCACAGGCGTTTCGTGATGCTCCTGGGCTGGTGTTCAGGAACACGCCGGCTGACGTGAGCAGAGACAATCCCTGACCCTTCGGCGAGTTTAAAAACCCACATCGCGTATCCAGCGGTTCTTTACCCCCTTTTCCAGGCCAGGGTAGGTTTCAGCTGCCCCACGGCGTACGTGATGCTTTAACGCACGTGGAGTCTGCCAGGAGCAGGGCGGCTTTTAAAACGGAGCACGAACGCGGCCGGTCGCCAGCAACGGAAAGATTTCGTGGTGAGCCCGGTCTCGCCGTGGATGTTTCCTACGGCTGAGCCCAGCCTTAGCCGGGACTTCGCATCTCGTGCGTGGGGCTCCTAACGATAGTCGGGCTCTTAGCATTTATCAACCAGCTTCCCTGGCTGTAGTGATTTACGGTAATTAGCGTTGCTGAGGCGTTTAAGGGTTGATGAGACCTCTAGAAGGGAAACAATCATTAGCGGACCACAGCCTCTCCCCCCCGCTCCTCTTCCAAACATCTGCTGCTCAACCGCAGCTGCACATTAAGGATTTCTCTGATCTCGCGTTTGGTTTTAAAGTATCCTAAGCGGCTCTCCCCACCGAGAGCAGCCACCCCCCAAATCGGGGAGGTGCCGGAGAAGCCGCGAAGGGTCCTCCGCACCCCCGCGTCCCAGCCGGCGCAGGCGTTGCCCTTATCACCACCCCCGGCGTGGAGGGCTTTCTGCTGCTGTCCCTGCTCTTGTTTTGGGGTAGAAAATTAAATTGTGGAAGTTTCAGCCTGAGGCTGGACGTGGTATTTTCTTATCTTTTGCCTTTTTGTTTTCTCCCCAGTGCTTTGCTGGTCTTTTTAAGTGAGGAGTGGAGGAGCTACAGCCTTTTCTTTCTTTTTTCTCTTTTTTTTTTTTTTTTTTTCTCCCCGCTATTACATCATCCCACTCGAAGTGCTAATCGAGTCCTGGAAAACAACCTTGTTTGAACATGTGTATGGTGGGAATCAGACCAGACTGCCCTTGTGGTTTGCATTTTCGTATCTCATGTTACCAGCATTTTCCTGTGGATTTCATTAAGTTGGGCTTGGCATGAAATGAAAAGGCAGAGTCTCCCAGCTTGTGCAGCGCCGACCTTAAAAAAAGAAAAACAACCAGAAAACTAAAAAGAAAAAAACCCACCCTAAATCCTGGCTTTAGGAACAAGTAGATGTTTATATTCAGTGTCTGGCTAGCATATATATGTACGTAAAGCGTGAAGCACGACTGTTTGGTCCCCTGGTGAGTGTGCAGCCCATGGTTTTCGTGACCGTGGCAGGCCTCGGGCACAAGCTGCAGTGTTTGCAGTGCCCCACTTTGGTCCCATCTGCTCGGGGTTCGTCCAGGCTCGCGGGGGTTTTTCTCCTTCCCGGATTAAGTTTTGTAGCGGCTCCCCGTTAGCTGGCAAGGCGGAGGCACCGCTGGTGCCCTTGGGGTTGTGGCAGGCTCTGCATCGTACACCTCATCTTGGCCAAAGAGGGATATTTTCTGAGTGTTTTGCCACTGCGGGTAAGATTTACTGCTGCCTCGGTGCAAGCTGCCAGGTCGACGAGGTGCGCGCTTGCATCCTGTTTAACGCCACAGAAATTAGGCAGAAAAGTGTTAATCTCGAGGTAAAGAGAAATTGTTTTCCTTTTGCTAAAGTAAACAGCTAAATGCTCTTTGTTTGCCAGCTGGTGCAGGGGAATCATCCAGCCCTCTTCCCTCAGCTCGTCCCGTGCCGTGTTAACCCGTCGACCCGCCTTGTTTGCTCCGGATCCGTCCCCGTGCCCTTGACCTCCGGGGCTCGAGGCTGAGCATCCTGATGGCCGAGAGCGCTGGGAAGCGGCTTCTCCTCGAGCCAGCCCCAGCGTGGCCCCTGGTTTCGTGGCTGGAGAAAGTTGCTGGGGGCTCGCTCGATAACATCCCACGAGCTTTGGTTTTAAGCACGAGGAAGATGCCCCCGGGGTTGTGTTTCTGTCCTGGTTGTTGGCTGCACATAAACTCTTCCCTGGGAGCCCCAGCTCTGCCCCGACGTTGCTGATATGCCTGAAAGAGCGAGTGTGGGGGGAAAAAAACCTTTCAGACAGCAAACTCCTCCACCTGAACTGGAAAGGCAGGCCCTGGCTGCGTTGTCGGTTTATCCTTTCTCGAGAAAAGCAGTGGCAGCCTGGGAGGTTAAAGGATTTATTTGCTTTCCTTGTCTGTTTTCCCCCGCCCTGCTGTTTTAGCGATACCTTTTAAAAATGCGTTAGCGTGGCATTTATTGGAAGGGAAAACAGACTTATCGGGGACTAAGGAAGTAATGCGGGTTTTGTCTGTGATGGTAACTCATAAACATGTTTGTTTCTAGAGATAAAAACCACAGTGGTGTACCCCGCCACCGAGAAACACCTTCAGAAATACCTCCGTCAAGAAGTGCACCTCATCCGCGAAACCTGGGAGGATTATAAGAACATAACGCTGCCCTTCATCCAGTCCCAGAGCTTCAGCATCCAGGTATGGGCACCAGGGACATCTTTGGTCTCCTTTTTCACCACGCTGGGCTGTCAGATGTCTCCTCCGAAGCCCAGGTTGGAGGCAGAAGAGGCTGCAGGTTATTTCTGCTGGTCCTGAGTTGCGATGCTGCCTGCGCGCATCCCCTCATCTATCGTGCTTTCTTGAGACTCTCTGACCTTCGGGGTAAGCTCAGCGATGCTCAGCAGGGCTCTCTTTCCCCTAAGCTCCCCCGGTGTCCCCATCCTTCTGTCCTCTGGGGTATCCTCCATCTTTGCAGAAAAACATTTGCCTTGGAGATGTACCCGAAGTCGCCTTTCTCAAGCCTTCTGGAGACTTTCCTGGGGCGTTCCTCCTCCCTTCCGAGGGTGGCTCCCTGGGCGTTGGTGCGGTTCGCTGGGCTTTTTAGGAGTCTCTTGGGTGTTGTGGAAAGGGGAAGGCGCAGATTGCTCTTGGATTCCTGCATCGCGACTCACTCCTCAGGCTTCGCCTACGGTTCCTCTGCCATTCAGCCCTTCCCTCCCTATTCCACCGTGCCTTTAGCGCCCTTCTTGCCCCAGGCAGCACTGGACTTTTTCCCTGTTTTATATCCTTTTTGACCATTCCTCTCCTCATCTTCTTTAGTAGTAGGGACCAATTCATGCCAGCCTGCACAGAAAGGGGAATAAAACAAATCCTGGGTGTGCTGAGGCTATCCGTTAAAAATAAACCGCAAAAAAAACCCCAAAGGCCTGTGGTTGGTTATCCCCCCCACCTCTTTCCTGCTGCCTCACACAGCAGCAGAACGGTTAACAGGGTTCAGCGTTGGCGATGCCTGCTTTCTAATCGCTTGCAGATGAACGCGAATCCCGCTTTCTGCGACTCGTACCAGAAGGCACCTTGCAAGCCGCGGTGCGCGCTCGATTACTCCTCGCCTGCCTGCTTTTCTTCGCTCCATCGTTCAGCTTTCTCGTCGGCAGCCAGGCTGCAACGCCAGTAACATACAGGCAGCGTTTTTTAGCTGGAGAAAGACAGGAGCGTGTTTCCACCAGACAGCAACCTGCACGAATGTTTTCTCCGTAGGCTGTTAAGTTTCCTGGTGTAGCAGCTGCCTTCAGAAGCTGCTTGAGCTCTCTCTGCCTCTTCCACTAAGTGCTTGCGAGCTGATTTCTGTACATGGAAGCACATTTCTGGTGACCATCAGGAGCATCTGCCAAGAGATCTTGGTCAGCACGGTCAGTCCTTGATCTCTGTGCTTTCATAATGCAGTTTCTTTTCTTTATCTAACCGCTTTTAACGAGCAGAAGGGGAAATGTGAAGGGTAACAGAAATATCGGCGGACTACAGAAGCGGCTCTGTTTTCTGCTGGAGGATGCAAAGCCTGGATGCTTTCAGTATAATAGTTTTATTGTGGCGCCAGTCTCTGGACATGTGTTGTCCTCGCTGGGCTTGTGCTGGAAACAGCAAGAGCAATCAGCTGATGACCTGCCCATCACATGAGGCAGCGTTGCGTTTAAAATTCAGCTCGTCTGATCGGTGAACTTATTTAGGGCAATGATAGCTTGGCACTTGTGAAAAGAGCAGGCCTAAAAAAGGAAAAAAAACCAAGGGCAAACTTTGATTTCCTGCTGAGCTTCCTGCCCTGCTTTTCTTCCGGGGACACAGAGCGCGGTGATCTTGTGCCGGGATTTCCAAAATCGCTTTGAGAATCTGATCTTCTCTAGGATGTTGGTGCTGGGAAGAAAAGACCAGAAATTTAAGCAAAAAAAAAAAAACAAACCCAAACAAACAAAACCCCCAACAGATCAAGGGAGTAGAAGTTTGTTTGTCTCCAAGGATACATTCAGGTCAGTTCACAACGGTCCTAAGTTTTGACTGGATTAATGAAACTCTTGACGGAGTTCCCTAGAAGGCCTGTCGTCTTATCTCGAGCACCTGGTGTGCGCAGCATCCCCTGACCCAGCTCGCTCGGTGCGTCTGCGAGACTGGCTGCGTCTTCCCTACCCACCTGGGGTGACCAAAATGTTCCATTCCTAAACTTGATGGGGAAAATGTCTCAAAATGCTTTCAACTTTCAAGCCCCAGCCATTTTCTGCTTGCCTTGTCTTATCTTCTGTCTGGCTGGAGACTCCCTTGGCAGTCCAGTACTTAAGGTAGACTTAAGTTAGAGCACAAAGTGCATTTTGGAGGTGTAAAGAAGGATGCTCAGACTCAGGTTGGTAGCCAGGAAAAGCAAAAGATGCTTTCTGCTTGTCTTATTCTGTCTCTTATCCCTGGTCTCTTCCACTTCGTAGCTGAAATTCGTCTCTGGGTGGTGCTTTCCTTTGAAGGAGAAGTGCAGGGGGATAACCGGAGCAGGGATTACAGGCAGTCTGAAGGCTGAAGCTTTAAATGTAGAGGAAGAAGAGCGGAGAGGAAGAAGAGGGGTGAGCTCTTTTCTAATCAGCCAGGAAACAGAGACGTGCATTGCCCAAGAAAACGCAAGCCTTTCTTATTCGCCAGGCGAGCGCTGGCTGCCGGCAGCGGGAGCCGCATCCACCTTCAGGCTCGCAAGCAATCTGCTCCTTCCTTTCTGAATGGGAAAAATCAGCCGAGTTCCCTTCCCAGACCTAGTTGTAAAGGTTTCAGCGCGACCTGGGAGGTAAAAAGGTGCAAACAGCCCTGCGGTGCCGTGAGAGGCGTCTGCTGAGCCCCACGAGAGCTGGCGTCCACCGCGGCCCGCCTCGCCGGGGTCTGGCGTGCTCGGAGTCGCTCGTGTTGGTGGCTGATCCGCCCGAACGCCTGTACCTGGCCCCTGCCGACCGGCGGGAGCACGGAGGAGGGATGCCGCTGCCCCTGGGGGGTTTTAGTGCTTGCGGCAGCTCCATCTCCGGCCCCGTAAAGCAGCCGGGTCTGGTTTATTGCTAGACCCCACCGAGGAGAATGATCTCCAAATCCTCTTAGGGGCAAATGCAACTATTTCTACACTGGGCTAAACCATCTCCGTTCGATACCTCATCTCCAGCTGTGGCCAGTTCTTAATGCTCGAGAGGAAAACAAAGATCCCTGAATAATTTAGCTGGCCGGCGGTGCCATGCAGCGGGATCAGGGGGTATCTTTTCACTGAAGTGCTCATAATAGCCTGGAGTTTGTTGTTGGAGTGTTTTCTGGATAATTAACTACAAATGTTATCAGCCACGAAATGATTTGGTCATCTTGAAATCAAGTTGTTGCTATTTTTTCTTTTTTATATTCTACTTGTAGCAAATATACACTAATCCATGAGCTTGGGCTCAATGTGCCTGAGGTGGTGTTTTTCTTTTTTCTCTGCTGGTTTATAAATCGCATATTTCTCTTTCAGTGGGTGTATAATATCCTGGAGAAGAAAGCTGAGGCCGATCGAATCATCCATGAAAATCCAGATCCTTGCAATGGCTTTGTTCTGGTTCCAGATTTTAAGTGGAATCAAACCCAGGTTCGTTTGCTCCTCTTGTCTTTGAAGGGATGCTGCTTGTCCGAAGGTAATCCAGAGGAAATGTCCACTTTCGTGCTACTAATAGCATGCTAATGAAAGGTTTAGGAGGGAAACGTGTCCTTCCTGTTCACGCTGTTATTAAGTGATGATATTCCCAGCGCCTTTTATCACGCGCTCATTGTGGACACTGCAAAATGCAGGCTGTTCTCCCTGCTGCTGATTTGATTTATTAGCTTTGCTTTCTCTTTCCTGTATTAGCCCAAACATTGTTGTGATGTGTTCGAACCTAAATCCGGCTGCTTATATTTTCCTGATGAACTTGTTTGGGTGTGTTTTTTTGGTTTTTTTTGTTTTTTTTTTTTCTTGCAAGCCTCAATTTTAGGTGCAATTCAGGCAGATGTGTTGTCCTTTGGTTGCTGCAATTAACTCTCCTCCACACAATATTAAACAAATGGTCGTTAGCTTATGAGCAGCCGCTTAAGCCCTCGTGGGAGTGGTTGCTTGTTGAAAGGCAGAAGTTTTTAAGTCCAGGCTGTAATCCTAAATTGAGTGGCTCGTTATTTCCTTGTGCGGTCCTTCTGGGGATGTGCCTGGGGAGGTGAAACTCCACACGTGCACCCCTTGAAGTCAGTGGAGTCAAAAAAAAAAAAAAAAAAAAGTCCCCTTTGTGTTTCTGATCCTCAAAATGCTTCTGCAGGTGGTGGGAGGGAAAGTTACCGTATGATTAAAACTTAGAAATGGGAACTAAACAAAATGGGAACACAAACCTGCTCGTGGGCAGCACAATTCTGTGTTTCTGTGCTGGGAGGACCTATTTGTGGTCCGGTGCTGAGTCACCCGGGGGAATGACTGGGGGAGGACAGGTGAGTACGTCACTGCAGGGCAGCCTCCGGTCGCCACAGATTCCTTGGTCACCACGAATTCCTTGCACGTCAGCTACTCCAAAAATCCCTTGCCGAGCTGCGGTGGGGTAACCCAGCTCGGATTTCTGCTTGTTCCCTGGGAGGTGCGACCTTCTTCCTGCAGAGACTTTGCAAAGCAGCTTGCAGTCGTGCTTACGCCACCGTGCCCTGTTCAGTGCCCTTTGCTTTCAGGGTGGCAATACTTAAGGATCCTAAGACGTGCCACACACCGTCCCTTTCCTCCCTCCGGGCAAAGCCTTGGTGTAAATCCTCGCCACAGCGAAGCTTCGCAACTCGCATCACAACTGGAGATGGATGGGCTAAAAATTGTGCTTTAGCTTTCTCTGGGGACCTGCTGTCTTGCAGCTAGCGTGGTCAGGGAGTGCTTTAATGGCAGGGTTTGTCTTTAGGGGAGGTTTCCCCACGCTGCTGTCGCCTGTTGGTATTCTGAACACGATCTTGATTTCTTCCCAGCGGCTGGGCTGCTGTCTGCAGCAAGAGAGCCGCCATCCCTGGGGCTACCCGGGACCTTGGTGTTGCCTGTCTCTTTCTCAGGCAGGCGAGCCAGCGTGCCAGCAAGGGCTGTCGACTTCTGCCTTCGAGCCAAGGAATTTCTTCTTGGCTGTGGGTGACGCCGAGCCAGAGCTGATCCCGGCAGCCCCGGGGCGAGCACCGGTTCCTTCTGCCGCGTCCCACCGAACAGGCGAGGCTACTAAATTAAATTAGGGAAGCGAGACAGAGCTCGCAGCAGGACTCTCCGAGCTTCCCCTTTGACAGCACCGCCTTGCGCTAGCTTAGCACCTTGCCCGCAAATGCTACGAATTCATCTGTAATTATTTCGGGTTGATTGATGAGAAGATGATTTCTCATTTGCATCGTGAAGTCTGCACGCTTGTTGCCGGCCTCGACCTTCTGGGCGCAGCCTCAGCTCCTGCTGCCCGACCTTGGTGGTGCTTTGAGTTGGTTTCTTGGGGGGCTTTTTAAAAAAATTATTTTTTTGGTGTGGGTTGTTTTTTTTTCTCCCCAGTTCTTTTGAGTTTGTTTCAAACCCGCAGGAGCCCTGAGGCGTTGCCTGAAACAATGCCCGGCATGATATCATTCAGGGCCTTTTTAGCAACAGGCTTATTTGTTTCAAACAGCAACATGCAGATGTTGTCCTAAGGAGAAGAGATGTTTGCTTTTCCTCCCGCCAGCCAGCCCTGATCCGAAGAGGACAAGCTGATACGCCGTCTTTTTCCGAAGCTGTGCACAGGCTGCCTTGGGAATCAAACCGAACCACGAGCATCGCTGTGCTGGCTGGGTGCAAATAGCAAGTTTGTGTTTTGAGAGCCCCGAGACGGGGTCCTGAGAGCATCTTTTGGCACAAGCATCTGTTTCCAAATAGCCAGATGGCTTTCCAACAGCCCTGAAAAGATCTGCTGGCTCTCAAGCATCTAAACCCTTTGCTTTGCAGTGTTTGTATTAGAAAGCCACTAGCTGAGCTGAAGGGGATGGGGATTTTTATTTTTTTATTTTTTTTTTTTAAACGTAATGACCCACAACCCTATGTCTTGTTAAACATTGAATTTGGTAAGTGCTTCAGGAGATGGCCAAAGGTCTGGCTGAGAGCTGCCGAACGGATGTATTTTACTGCGCTGGGCTTGTCCGGTGACCGATTAGGTCTTGAAAATAGTTATTTATAGAACTGGTGCGACTGGAAAGTGGCCGGCTATTTGCACGGAAGCTTTTCCCTCAGGGGAAAAAAAAATCTACAGTCGCAGTTTTGGCCGCTGCGGTTCACTGTAAATCCTCGTCTGAGCGTGGAGGTAAACCACTCGCTCGCTCGACGCAGCGTCCGTGCGTGGGGGTGGCTGGCAGACCCCACGGCCTCGGCCTGGTGGGTGCCTCAGTTTCCCCCATGCAGCACGGTGGGTGCCAGCACCTTCTCTGCCAGCCTCCATTTGCACCAGGACAACGTTTCTGAGACTCGCAGGGAGATGTGAACGTGCAAGGGCAGCACGGTGGAAGAGGGCTGATCAGTCGATCTGCTTTTAAAGCTGAGAAAATCTTTGTGATCCCGCTGTTTATCAGTTGGGGGGAAGCTATCCTCTTCTGCTTTTTCCTGGGCAAAACCCAGTTTGTCCAAAAACGATGCTTTGAGGTGCAGTGAGTTTGTGAGGGCATCTCGTACTGGGAAATTTGTACTGGATTCAACCCAGTTCGGGTGTGGGTTAAACACGACGGCCCTTAGAGCACAGCCTGGGCGGCTGCGGTTGGTGTGTCAGGTCCAAAGTGCTCCGTCCGCTCTTTTTGTGGTCATCTTCCTCACCGTCCTCCATCTCTCTCTCTCTGCAGCTGGATGACCTCTACCTGATAGCCCTCATTCACCGCCGGGAGGTCAAGTCGCTTCGGGATCTCACTGCTGAGCACCTCCCGCTGCTGAGGAACATCTTGCAAGAAGGCAAGGTAAGAGCGAGGTCGGTCCGACGCTGCCGTCCTGGCCAGGGAGAGTGAGGTCCCTGCCTCTGCCGCGAGGTCCCTGCCTGCATTCTCCGGCAGCTGCCTGACCAACGGTATCTGTGTGGGGACCAACACCCGAGAGATGATGATACGTCACGAACCAGGGCTGCGCTGCCCTCTCTAGCTTCTCGGCCCGGAGACCCCCGTCCCTGCTGCTCCGTCAGCAGCTTCCCCCCGTGGCATCGGAAAGCCGTGTCGCATTCGAGGCGTTTCAGGGGTGCTCGATATTTCTCCGTTAGCAGCGAGCTGCAGGAGTTGAGCCCAGTCCTCCTCGTGTTTATAACTTCCTTCCCAACCCCTTGGCCATTTTCACCGGCCGACGAGTTTTTTCCAGCCCCATGACGGGGTGTGCTTGGTAGATGGATGCGCGATAGCTTCTCTTTCCTTCACCGCGTTAGGAATTTGGAAAGTAATTGCACTGGGGAAAGCGGAGATTAATTAAGAGATTAGTCAGGGGATTGCAGCGTGCTGAGCAGCGAACCAAGCCAGCGTGCCGGAGTTCGCCGTTGCTGTTTATAGCTTTAATTACACCGGCTGGTAACAGGATCCCCGTAACTTGCCGAGCAAGCTGAAGCGATCAGGGTGGAAGGGAAAACGATACGAGCGGAGAGCACGTCCCGTCACGGAGGGAGAAAAGTGGGGCAGCCGGAGGCATCGCTCCATCCCTGCGGAGGCTGAAACGGGATGGGGAAGAGCTCTGTCCTTCCCAGCTTCTCCCTCTCCCTTGCTGTGAGGAAGCAGAAATCGCTTCTGCCTTTCTCTCCGCCTTCTGTGCCATCCCGGGATGCGCCTTTCCGTCCGTTGCAAGGTCTGTCTGTCCACGTGCTGCCTGCCCCCAGCCGCCCCGTGCCCTTGCTGCGCGTCGCTGGTCCTGACCCGTGGTTTTTTTTTTTTTTTTTCCTCCTTAGGAGGCCGTAGCGAAGCGTTTCGGCGTGCCTGGATCCCAGCTGCGAATCTACCTGCATTACCAACCCTCCTACTACCACCTGCACGTGCATTTCACCGCCCTGGGCTACGACGCCCCGGGCAGCTCTGTCGAGAGAGCCCATCTCCTGGCAGACGTGATTGACAACCTGGCGATGGACTCCATGTACTACCAGAAACGGGCCTTGACCTTCGCCCTTCGGGCTGACGATCTTCTCCTTAATGAGCGTGAGCTGGCAGAGGCGCTTTTGTATCTTTTTATTTTTAATAAATGCCTGTTTTCAGGGTCTTTTTTTAAAGGTTTTGGTGCTTTTATTTTTTTTAACTCTGATTTTGTACAAGTTGGGGCTGGCAGCCCATTGCTATGGAAACCGTTCCTTCTGCTCAAGTCAATTAAAACATTGATTGAGTAACCCCTTTTAGTGGACTGGTTTTTACCAGGGTTGTAGCACCAGACTGGGCGCCTCTGGGATGCAGCGAGCAGAGGAGTTTGGGCAGGAGGATCTGCCTGCATCCATCTTCTCCACCCAAAAGACAGCCCCAGCCACCAAACGTCAGCCCAAACCGGGGAGGAGGGTTCCAAGAAGACCCGCCGTCCTCGGAAAGCTTCACTTATTTCCTATGGATTTACTCCTGGGAGCGGGATTGCAGCTTTCCTGGGACAGGGAGGGGTTTCTTGCTCCAAATAAATCAATGACTAACCCGACTCCTTGCTCTTCCCAGCCGGCTGGCTGCCCTGGGCTCTGTGAAGGCAAACGCGATTGCGCGTTCTGCCTGATCCCGGGCCTCGGAGCCATCACCTCTACCCTGCTAATTAGTCATATATTTGGTTTAAACGAGCTCATTTGGAAGGGCAGCCCCTCCCTGCCACAGGCTTCTCAAGGTTTTGCAAGGATTCCTTAGTGTGCTGGTTTAAAAAAACCCATAAAATAAAGAAGATTGCTCTTCCTTCTGCCAAGGTGGTGGCACGGCACGGCAGTAAATGCCTTCCTGCAGCTGGAGGGTCCTGGCAAAGGAGCCTCCCAAGACCCTGGATGACTTTGCTGCCGCTTTCCAGCTCCAGTAAGTTTTATTTTTTTGCTCCTTCAGTGAGATACCGACATCTTCCTCACTGCCTGATGCTGTTTAAACAGTCCTCATGCCCGTTGTGGTGGGGAAGAAATGATTTCTGCGTGCAGAGAGAGGCTTGGTCCGCTGACCCAGCCGTCGTTTCCCCTGCGTCTTCTCCGCCAGACGCCAACCTCTGAAAACTTCATGAGTTCTTGCTGCCAAAAAGGGCTCTGCTTTCTGGCCAGCTGCTAACCAGGGATGTAATTGCAGGAATCGCCTTGCTGGTTACCCCAGTTATTCACGCCTTTCAACCCACTGGGCTCTAAAAAGGTTGTTTTTTCTTTTGCTGATGTGGGGTTAAAACCAGAAGGGATTTGTTTGCAGGGCTGCTCGGTGTGCCACGGCGCTGCCCTGTGATGGAGCGGTCCAGAGCTGGCTGGATTGCAAGTAGCATCATCAGAGATGCCCGGGGCTTTGTTCGGCTCATCCGATTAATAAATATTCAGGTCAGGCAGTTCCCTGGTACCTTTTAGCAGCAGGGAGAGGCAGAGCAGCTGGATGCAGCCACCTTTTCTTCTTTCTCTGCAAAAATGCAATCCGTGGTGAGAAAGCCAGGGTAATCTGTTCGGGGCGGCTTTGCCTCTGGTTTCACATCTGCCCATCTCCCGAGCAGAGCACAGCTGGGGCCAGAGTTGCTTGAGGAGCTGGGGAGCAGTGGATTTGGAGATGATCAGCGGTCCGCTGGCTCTTTGCATCGCTAGGTTTTAAGTTGCTAAAGGAAAGGGATGAGTGTGGTTTTTTTTTTTTTTTCTCAATACCGGAGCGTTTTCTGTGCCGAGAGGGAGCTTGGTCTCCCTGGGTGAGGGAACATCACGGTTTTATGTACCCACCTAGGTCAGCCCAGGAGAGGAGATGGTTAAACAACAGATGGGACCATCCTGTCTCCCGGGAAGCTTCAGGTATTTACAAAAAAACCCCAAACTGTCTTGAAAATAGACTTTCCGAGGGCTGCGACAGACGACCGAGCAGCACATCTTCCGCAGACCATCTGTCTGCTCCTGCTGGAGGAATCGTTTCTCCTGGGAGACGACAAAGCGTGCTGGCCCTCACCCATCTCCTTTGGGAGCAGGGCGGGATACACGGAGCCCAGGACGGGGCCTCTCTAAGAGAAGAGGACAGCGGGATGCGTTTTGATGGATCTATGGCTGGAGCCTCCAAAGGATTTATTGAGGTCCCGGGGCTGGCTTGGCAAAGCCAGACGCCATTTCTAGGCTACGGGTCGAGCCCGAGGTGGTCGGCAGGACAAAGCCGGCTTGTGCTGGGCATGAATCGCCCCATTCTCGTCCCTCTCCAGCAGACGCCGCGAGCCTGGCCGAGGGCATCCCCCTCCTCTTTTATTAATAGATGGTGCTCGCCCAGCTCCTGCTTTGTCCTTGTCACTGAGGCCATCCTGGGATGGGAAAACCTCTGCCCGCGCGCTCGTGGGGCAGGAGAACGGTCCCGTTCCCCGCTGCTGCCGCCGGGGCGTTTTGCAAACCGTTTTATTGACGCGATTTCCAAATGGCTTTGGACGGGGTGATGGCGGAGCTCGTTACAAATTCACTTCTCAGACAGCCAGGATTTCCCCCCCACGCCCTTTTCTTCTCCAAATTACTCGGTGCTCATCATGCTGAATTAATCTAACTGGCAATTTATCCTTTGTAAATGAAATATTAGGGCAGGGCTTAGTCATTAGCAATGACTAACTACCCAGCGGACGCTCGTGGCATTCTGCTAAGGCAGCGAATATGTTGCCAAAGCGCGGTATTTTCCAGTGGGTTTTAAAACCGCGGCGTCTACCGGAGCTGTGGTGGCCATTGGAGCCCATCCCACCAGCGGGAGGGAGCTGCGGACCCCGAATATCCCAGGAAGCGAAGCTTTTAATATTCTGTCTTGGGGGCACGGTAAAAATAGGCGTTTGGGATGCATTATTATTGCTGGAGTTTTATTGAACGCCGTTTATTGTTTTCAGATGCTATAAACCTAGCAGGGGAACCCAAGAGACCGAAGGGTCTAAATATCCTTCAAGCAAATCCCAGCTCCCCCTCGCTGAGCTGCGGCCCCAGTAATTACCCCAGGATCGTCTACGAGCCGGCGGCAATTAAAACCTAATTACGGCGGCCTTGCCTCTTGCCTCGGGTAAAACTCTCTGCCCCGTTGCCTCGCTTCTTGCCGGCAAGGAAACCCCATCCTACGTAGGCTGAGGGCCGAGAGGAGGATGCTCGTCAAATATTGATGCAGTAGTTCAATTAGCCTTGGCAAAACCGGAGCCGTCGCCTCAACAGGTATTTTATCAATTAATATCGTTGGCGCTGGACGTCTCGGTCTTCACGTGGGGCTGGTGCCCTCCAGGTTCCCTCTACCTCTTGCTTTCCAGCCCGATAAAGAGGAATAAACTCTGTCGCCTTCAGCAATGAGCTGCCTGCTACCGGAGCCAATATTTCACATTATTTCCAATGTAAAAATCGGCGTTAATATCGCTAATTATCTCAAGGATTGGCAAAACCCCACCCCGGCGCGGCGAACCGTAGAAATAAAAGCCTCGAGGGTCCGGCTGCTGGTTTTGTCTGTCGTGAGGATGGGATGGAAATGAAATCCCGTGGGAAACGGCGGTGGCCGGGCACGGGGCAGTCCTGCGGCAGGAATTCATTTCTTTGCAAAGGGAAAAAAAAAAAAATACCCAATATCGAGTTGGGTCCCTAGAGCCTCCGCGCATCGTCTGGGGGTGGGTTTGATGGGGGAACGCTGCGAACCCCCCGGCGTGGCGTAAATCCTCGGTGGGGGAAGCTTTGCACCCCGCCTTGCCAAAATTGGCTGCGAGATGCGTTATTTGACCCATCCCATAGGGAAGTCTGCTGCCTCCCTGGGGCAAGGATAAGAAACGTTACCAGAAAGCTCCCCAGACTGGTGAAAGCTTCCGATTATTATCCGCTAGTGGTTGTTCAAGTCGGCAGTGACGAGGTAGCTGATAGTGGCATCAAGACAATCAAAAGGGACTTTAGAGAGCTAGGGCGATTGCTTGAAGGATCAGGAGCACAGGTGGTGGTTTCCTCCATCCCATCAGTAGGCGGGAGGCATATGGAAAGGAACAGGAAGACCCAGCTCATCAACACGTGGCTTGGGGGCTGGTGCCAGCGAGGGAATTTTGGGTTTTTCGACCATGGGGCGGTTTACATGGCACCAGGCCTGCTGGAGACAGGTGGGGTTCACCTGTCGCAAAGGGGGAAAAGGATCCTGGCCCAGGAGTTAGCTGGCCTAGTTGAGAGGGCTTTAAACTAGATGTGAAGGGGGAAGGGGATAAAACCTGGCTTGCTT